ATATCCACGTTCCGTGGAATTGACTTGCTAACATTATGAAATTCGGAACAACCACTGACTAAATGCAGATTTGATAATGAGGTCTTGTCCAGGCATCATCGTGTGTTGTATGTAAGGCAACTCGAAGGTCTCAGTCTAGGTCGCAGTAGACACAATGGCAAGTTGCGCCAATCAAATGGCGTGGATAACGGAGGTGGTGGCGGTGAAAGCATGGCCGACCACGGGAGTGCTTATTGTGTGAGGCCAGCTACCTCCTCGACAATGACAGGGATATGGGTATGCGGTTGTGCATTCGCTATTAGTCCTGGACGAAAGCCAGTCAGCCAGTTAGTGTCCAGGTGATTTCATGCTTCTATTACACCAACTCCTTCAATACTGCACTCATCCACTATTCCACAGTGATGTTAGGGTCCCACTAGCACAATCGCTTCTTTCCATCCTGTGGTGTTCACCTGCGACGTGACACCACTGCATCATTCATTTGATTTCACTTGACAGAAACTCTCAGAAGGAACTTATAAGCGATGGAGTGAAGTATTTCAATAAAATGTCTCCTAAATGAAAAATCCACCCTTGTTCACCTGGATCCTACAAACGCTACACATAGAGATGCTCTAAAACGCTTTAGTTAATAAAAATTGTAAATCTCTTACTGAAAGCATTGTATTCCCTGTGCTTTACTAACTAGCAAACACCCCCAACTAGGAAGTGCTCAAGTGCTTCATCAACATTACTTCAGCGTAGTCTCCACTCGTTTTTCAGAATTTCCTATGCTACAAAATGAATGATTTAATCACTCCAGTCCTTTAACTCATTTAGCCAAATAATTTCATTGCATCTAGGGTATCAAGGGGGAGAATTTGTTTTAGCAAGCTTTGCATATTTCGAGATGGAATCCTAATGAATCGACAGTGACTGCATAGCAAATTGATGGCTATGCACCACTTAGATTCGGCGTTGGCGAGGCGCGAAGAGCCACAGTCAGCGCCTACAATTGGGGCCAACTCAGCGGACAA